GGGCAGGCCCAGCGCAGCCACCCAGGGAAGAGCAGAGGGGTGGAGGCCCCGGGGCAGGCCCAGCGCAGCCACCCAGAGCTGCACACAGGCTGGCAGCCTGGGATCTCTCAGGAGGAAAGCACAGGAAGCTGCCAGATAATGGGAGATTCCACTCCGGAGACTCCACAGTGAAGGAGGCAGGGGCAGTGACAGACCAGCCTTGGGCTCTGACACCACGGGCGTGGGTGCCATGCGGCAGCAGCTGCAGGTAGAGGGCATGCAAGCCTGCAGCCTGTGCTGACCCTGGCCAAAGCCAAGCAGAAGGAGCACATCGTCTGCCCCTTCTGGCCCTCCTCTCCCTGCCCTGGTCCCTGTCCCACAGCTCTGGTGCTGACCTGTGCTCACAATGTCACCACCAGGCCACGCAGCCTCCCAGCCAGCTCAGGCTTCTCTGTCCCATTGGGGCGCTCTGCAGGTGCAGCAGATGTAGGTCAGCAGCAGGCCAGGCCCTGTCATCACCCACACTGCTGTCTCCCTGCCACCATTCCCTCGTGGCCATCCCACTTCTGGAAGGTGTGCAGGTCCACGTGCCTGGGCCCCCTCCCACTGGGTCTGGCCTGAGCTCTGCACTCCCTGGACATGAGGCCCGGGTCAGCCCTGGTCACTGCTCAGGGTCCTCAGCCCAGCCCACATGGGAGCACAGCCTGCAAGGCACGAAGACGCCCTTATGGGGGCTCCTCCTCTACAGCCACTGCCCGGCTGGGTAGCGAAGACCCAGCAAGGAGATGAGGCACAGCTGATGGCGGGAAGTGCAGAGGTGTGGGAAACAGGCCAGGCCCTGCCGAGGGGCGTCCCAGCCGGCCTGCTTCCTCCCTTTGGGGGTGCCAACACAGGTGCTGGGGGAAGGGCGAGTGCCAGCTCAGTCCACCCATGGTCTCCACTGCCTCTCACACGGTTCTCGGCCACTGTGACCTGTATGGACAATGGCTGGGGAGGGAGGATCCTTGTAGACAAGGCCAGGACATTAGGTGTCCCGAGATAGACCTTTGTGTGGAGGCCCTGGAAGGGGAAGAAATCCAGGAATTGGAAGAAAGAAAGTGCAGATCTGGAGACCTGCCACCCTGGACCTGGGGGGCCTGTGTATGTGCAGGTGTGCACGACCCAGGGTGGGTCTGTGGGTGTCACAGGTGGGTGTGACCTGGGGCAGTGACGTGAACCTCTCGGAACTTGCAGTGATAACGTGTCCCCCTGTGCAGTGTGCATGGCCAGGGTGCACCTCTGTGTGGGGGCCTCTGTGTTCCCTGTGACTCCCTGGGAGGCCCCCTCCACGGCCTCAGGCCTGCCATGTCCCGCCGGTCTCTTCCACACACTGTGAGGCGCCAGCATCCACTCACACGGCTTCCCCTTTCTGCTCCAGGGTGACAGGAGTCCTTGAGCTCAGCGTGAAACTCCTGTCACTGCTGTCCCTTGTGGGTCTGTGGGTGCACATGGGTGTGCGCGCACACACGTGGAACACCCTGGACCCTGTGCCAGTTGTGGGAACATGTTGTCTTCCCTCTTTCCTTCCTTGCCTACTCCTGGAAATGTCTGACGTGTCATCACTCTGTCCCCGTACTTGGCATGGGGGGGGCAGGTAGGCAGTCTGGGCGACGCAGTTCCTATCCAGCACGCCCTAAGGCAATGGTCCCTGCTGGATAAGAAAACCACATCCGAGCATTTGCTGAGTCTGAGGTCGGAGGCCTCTGGGAGCCCCTGCTCAGCACCCGTGCCAAGACTGCCTCGGGGCCTTCCAAGGGGCTGGCGCCCAGGAGGAGCAAGAGGAGGAGGGGACTGGAAGAGGACTAGGAGGAAGGAAGCAGAGGAGGGCGACGAGGCCGCTGCACCATTTCCCCGCTGCCCACCTGGCTTCTCCGACAGGACCACACTTCACACGTGGGCCTCAGACACAGCCCGGGAACCAGGCATACTAATGCGCGCAATGGCGCTGTGGAAACGCAAAAGTCGCTGCTGCGTCCGCACTCACAGCAGTCAAAGGTGCTGCTGTCTGTGGGTGATGCGGCTCCCACTGGGGCACCACCAGCCTAGAAGATGCGTCCGTGTCCTGGGACAGCAGGGGCAGTGTCGTCTTGGCCGTGACCACGAGGCGGCTGCCAGGTCCCGGGGCAGGCACCCTGCGCTGGCCTCGAGCTTCCCATCCCATCTGCCTGAGACGGGGCCATGCGGTAGAGGGGCGCCTACTGCAGAAGAACACAGGACCGAGGAACCAGAGTAGAACCCCAGCAGCAAGGGAGGACTGGCGGGGTGCGCAGGGGCAGGAGCCCCTGTGGTTAGGGTTAGAGTCAGGCTCAAGGCCAGGCTCAGGGTTAGACTTAGGGCTGCAGTAGGGTTAGAGTTAGGGGTGAGGGCTGGAGTAGAATTAGGGTTAAGATTAGGGTTTAGGATTTAGGGTTAGAGTTGCATTAGAATTAGCTTAGGGTTAAGTTTGGTTTTAAATCTTGTTATGCTTAGTGTCCTTCTTATTTATTTCATTGCGGGGATGAAATACTGGACCCCACATGTTAAAGGAGGGAAGTTCTTTTCAGCTTTGTTTGAAGTGTCCGTCATCAGCTTCCTCCAGGGCAGGGTGGCAGGGCAGAGGTACGGAAGCAAGAAACAGCCCTCAGATGGCAGGCGGGAAGCAGCCTGCAGCCTCTTCTCTTACTCCAGCCTGGATGAGAGCCTTCAGACTTCAGCTCATTGATGCAGCCATGCCCAGAACTAAGCTAACTCCCACTGGTGGGCCCCTTTAGTACCACACACCCTAGAGCCAGCCTGCTCCAAAAAGCTCCACCTTGGAGGGACCGCACAAAGCTCTGGGCACCTGAGATACAAGCCATAATAGTTAGGGCTTAGAGGCCAGGCTTAGGGTAGGACTGTTTGGAATAAGAATTAGTTCCCCTTGGGTTTAGAGGTTCAGGGCTAAGGTTAAGGGCGGGCTGGGTAGGCTTAGGGTCTGGTCTGAATTTTCAGAACATGGGTGGTTTCCCCTGAGCATCTGCTAGCAGGGGCCAGGCCTGCTGTGGAATCAGCCTCCTGTCGCTGTGGGGACACAGGGGCTGTGAGGAGTGGGAGGCACTGTGGAGAGGAAGACTCCAGACCTCAGTAACATCCGCCTGGACACTGGGGTGGTCACTCCCAAAGGCGGGGCAAGGAAGGGAACTGCGTAGAAGCACCCAGGACTCCTCCATTATACTGAGTGGGTCCCAGGCCTGCAGAAATTGGGGGTGGAGCCACAGGCCAGGGGCACAGAGTCCCACCAAAAGGGGCCCTGACTCTCCCTGTCCTCCTTGGCCTGCAGGACGATGCTGAAGGAGCAGTACATCGACAAGACGCGGGTGGCCGTGTTCGGGCAGGTGAGTCTCGCTGCTTTCCGGAGCTCTGTGCAGGAGCAAGGGCTGCCTACTGCCGGGTTCCCTCTGGCTCCCCGGGAGGCTCCTCCACGGCTGGGGGTGTGAACCTCCCCTCTATTTTTGGCGCCAGGCCTCTGAACTGAGCCGCGCCCCAGCCCTTTTTTACTTTTCACTTTGAGACACTGTCGAACCGAGTCACCAAGTTCCCCATGGTAGGACCAAACCTGCGACCCTGCTGCAGGCTGTTGGGGCTCACACCTGAAATCCCAGCACTTCAGAAGCTGAGGCAGGAAGACGGCTGCAAGCGCAAGTCTAGCCCGACCCACAGAGGGAGACCCTGGGCCTCCCTGAGTTGCCTGTGGTTGGCCTCGCCTGCAGACAGAGGGCGCTGGAGGGCACCCAGCTAGCATCCAGGAGCCTTTGCCTCTCTCTGCCTACCGCCCTGGAGAAACTTTACAGTTACAGGCATACCTAAAAGCCTCACTAGCGCATTGCTGAATTCCTGACCTTCTCGGATCTGAGGCTGGAGTCGGGTGAGTGCTGGCACTGACCCGGGCTCCTGTCCCCCTCCCTGCGCCCTGTGCTTCTCCCCAGGACTACGGCGGTTACCTGAGCACCTGTATCCTTCCAGCCAAGGGGGAAAACCAGGGGCAGATGTTCAGCTGCGGCGCCGCCCTCTCCCCCATCACGGACTTCAAGCTCTACGGTAATGGGCTGCGTGCGGGGACCGTGAGCACTGCCCCAGCAGGGCGCGTCTCCTCAGCACCTCCGGCCCCAGCCCAGGTGACCCCTGCTGGGCGCCCCAGCCCACCCTGCACCCCTGGCCCGCTGCCCCATCCGGGCTGAGCCCCGGGCAGAATGCGGGCGGAGTCGCGACGCGCCCCGAGCGATGAAAGCCGTGGGATTCGGTTAGTCGCTTGGTTCAGTTTTGCGGGCTTCCCGTGTTGCCGCCCCGAGAAAAACTCGCTCCCACCGCTGACACCCGGGAACGCCACCCCTCGCTATCTGATCTCCCACATGCCTGAGAAATGTCCCTGCGATGTGTTCTAAAAGCCACCATCCCCCAGGCGAGTGGCAGGGCTCTCCACCTTCTCGCTCCGCCCACCGGAGCCTGGATGCTACATCCGGGGCCTTGAGGGCACGAGCTGACCCTCCCTCTGCTTCTGTACAGCGTCTGCATTTTCCGAGCGGTACCTGGGCCTGCACGGACTGGACAACAGGGCGTACGAGGTACGTGTGGCACAGCTGCCCTCGGGCTCTTGCCCCATCCCTCTCACCATCCTCCAACCCGGCCCCACCCAGCAGCAGCGCCCACCCTACCCCTCTGGCTAGGACATCTTCCTCTCCACCCCAAAACTAAGCCCCTGGCGACTGTCCCCTCTCAGTACCACTTGTCCCCACTGCAGGACTGGGGGAGGAGGAGAAAGCTGAGAATGCTGGGCTGGGCGTCTGTGCCAGGCCCTCGAGATGCGGGCTGACCTTCAGGAGGGAGGGCTGTGAATCTCAGGGGCAGGAAGCTCCTCTGTTCCCCTGCCATAACCAGCCCAGAGAGATGTCAGAGCGGCCTCCTGGCTGAGCGTCAGACACACCAGACCCCGGGGGCCACGAGATTGTCCTCAAGACTAAGCTTCCTGGGTGGACAGGGGCCCTGCGCCCGCTCAAGTGCCGCTTCCAGGTGAAAGGGCTGTCCGCAGAGGCCACCTGTCCCTGGAGTCCTACCTCCACTCCCACCTCCCAGTGCCCTTTGGTCTCAGAGAAGGTGCTGTGTAAGGGAGGGGAAGCTGAGGCTCCTGTCCTTGTCACCTTTCACTGGGACACAGAGACCCCTGCTGTCCTGGGACTACTGTTTCCCAGACACCGGCCCCGGCTTGTGTCCACTTCCCCATCCTGTGCCCTGCAGCACTAACCCTGTCCCATGCCCACATTCAGATGACCAAGGCGGCCCACCGGGTGTCGGCGCTGGAGGGACAGCAGTTCCTGCTCATCCATGCCACCGCAGATGGTGAGCACCCCACACCACTACCCCGGGGGAGGGTGCCCCTGGCCTGGGGCGTGGTGAATACTCTGCCCTTTATTTTGCGTTTTCTGCAGAAAACATCCACTTCCAGCACACAGCGGAGCTCATCACCCAGCTCATCAAGGAGAAGGCTAACTACAGCTTACAGGTACAGCCTGCACGACCTCGGGCCGGTGCCCTCCTGCCCTGGGCAGCTCCGCCCGTGACTGCTGACGCCGTCAGGGTACCTGTCTCAGTCATGTTGGCATCACTGGGACACGGCACCTGACACGCAACTCACGGGAGCTGCACGTTGAGGCTCTCAGTCAGCGGAGGGTTCAGTCCGCAGTCGGCAGGCTCCAAGGCAGAGCGGCACATGGCAGAGGGGCGGGTGTAGGAAAAGTTGCTCACAGAGTGGCCACAGGAGGCAGAGAACGAGAGGAGGAGGAGGAAGAGGAGGAAGAGGAGGAGGAGGAGGAGGAGGAGGAGGAGGCTGGGAGGACTGCACGCCCTTCTGGGTCTCCTCGTCTCCCAGCAGCAGTCAGCAGTGGGTGACCCCTACTCGCCACCTCCTACAAGCCAGCCTGTGCTTGCCGGAGGCACCAGGCACATCCAGACATAAACCGCGAGTGTCTTGGCACTGTCCACAACTGTCCCTGAGCCTGGCCAGCCCTCGCTGGCCTCGGCCTCTGACTTGGGACCACAGATGTCCTCCATTCCCTCCTTGCACCCAGATCCTTTGTGAGAACAGGCGTGATGTGGTGGTGATGGGGGCCTGGAGATGAACGAGACCTCGCCAGGGACCTGTCTCCCTCAGGGAGCTGGGCTCCGCTCAGCATCCCAGGGCCACATTCATGAGGGCAGCTCAGGGAGCACGTCCTGCAAGAAGGGAGGGGTTGCTGGGGACGAGTGACAGAAGGGCATGGCTGGGGGACCTGGGTTTGCACCTGGAAAGTGTAACAGAGAAGATGGTTGCCATGGCACAGTGTGTTGGGCACGCGGACTGAAGGTGCCTCCTCTGGTGTGTGCTCACAGGTGTACGCCAGAGGCTGAGCAGCTGGCCCTGCAGCTCCACCTGGGTCAGTGAAGGGGACCGGCCTGGAGTCATGCGGGAGAGCACAGCCGTGTCCTAGCAGACAGATGGGCGCACAGGGCAACAGAGGCAGAGGGGACAGACGTCCTGCCCGCTCCCTTTGGTGCCCTGTGCTGTGCCACATACAAACTCCCCACCAGGTGGCGCCATTCATGGAATGGAGGTGGAAGGAGAGGGATTCCCAGGCAGGGCACCGGGGTCCTGGCAAGGACGACTCAGGGCCAGGCTGGATCCAAAGGGCACAGGAACCCCCTGCACAGGGCCACGCGCTGGCAGTAGCACACTTTTTCTGGCCCTAGTGCGTGGGCCACCCTTCACGTACCTGGCCTCGGAGAGCTTTGCTGTGCTGCACCGTGCTCCCCACAGAGCACTGTGGTCCGGTGGTGGTGGGAGCGTCCTCTCACCTGCCACACGTGCCCCCGAGGGCCAGAAGCCCTAGTGTGGCAAGGCCCACAGCAAAGCCCCCAGATGGCACAAATCCTTCCAGCGTAGACCCAGCTGTGCAACCGGAGTGCAGATTCAGACAGGGAGGTCTAGGCTGCCAGGCGCGAGGTGCCTTCCACCTAGTCACTGTCACCACACACCTGGCTGTGCCCCACAGGCAGAGAGGTGCTGGGAGACCAGCGGCCTTGTGAACAGAGCCTCCAGCCCCCACGGCCACGGGCAGAGCTCAGGCGAAGGCACAACTCCCTGTGGAGGCTGAAATAGGCAATTCCCACACAAATAACACTCGAGGCAGGTGCACCCGGGGTGGTCCTGCTCCCGGCGGCCGCTCCACTCCCCTGGAGGGAGGACACACTGTTAATTCCCACTGCCTTCCTTACAGATCTACCCAGACGAAAGCCACTACTTCCACAGCCCCGCCCTGAGGCAGCACCTATACCGCTCCATCATCAACTTCTTTGTGGAATGCTTCAGGATCCAGGACAAGCTCCCAACAGCCACAGCAAAAGAGGAAGAGGAGGAGGATTAACTCCACCCAGCTCCCTGAGCACAGAGGGCACTCCATGACCAGATGCAAAGCGGACTCCTGCCGCCGCTCTGCCCTCAGGGCAGGTGCAGCAGAGGCCCGGACCTTCCCCAGCATGCGTCCCAGAAGCGGAAGGCAGTGTGGCGGGGGGAGATGCATCCCACGCAGCCCAGAACCTGTTCAGCAGCACCGCCTCCTCCTGGCCCCACTGTGACTGGCACATCCCACAGCCCTCCCCGAGGGATACAGCAAAGGACAGAGTGCAGCGAGGGCCACCTTGGCGCCCCAGAAAGCCGGCCCTTGAGTTCAAGTGTCCAACCAGTAGCATTACCCCCCCCCCCCCCCCTCTGCGTGGAGGGCCACCTTCTGGCTCACAGCATCGATGTGACAGCTCTGCAGTGGAGGCCACAACGAGGGGGACACGCAGAGCCTAGCCACCCTCTGTAATTAGGACCTCCAACCTCCTTCAGGCCACACTAAGAAAAAGACCTTTCTGTACAAAGTACACTGCGGCTATGCTAATGGTTAGCCAGCTAGCATTCATTCCTGTCATTCTGTTTTAACCTGATGAGTGTTGTGTATGCACCTGGGGTGGTTTAGTGTTTCTTTTTTTGCTTTTCCTTTTCCATTTTCTCCTGTTATGACTTGGTTTTGCTTTCCACTTGCCATCTGTTTGCATAGAGAAATAGAGCTGAGGTCCCCGTGCCCTCCACCCTGTTGTCCTCAGACTTAGCGGTGGCACTTTGCACGCCAAGGGGGAAGAGCACTCAGTGCTATCTGGTAATGCGGGACATAACCACGTCCTCCCGCCCCTGTATATCAGCATTGTTCCCATGCGTCCTGAAACCGTGTTTCCTCCTTGATGAGTGAGTTCTGTCTGATGACGTGTTTCCGAGTATAAAAAGACAAAGTATCAGTGCTCCCCAAGTCAGTGCACCCCAAGGTGTGTCGAGGAAGCTTGAGTCTGGGTCCCAGAAATCCTAAGCAAAGGCTGCGAAGCGCCATCAGTACCCTGGGGGCCAGCGCTGCCCTCTGTGCAGCAGGAAGGTGACAGTAGTCTCCGTCGGCCTTGCGAGGCGCACGCTGACCAGAGGTGCAGCCGCCGTCCCCCGTGTATATTTCATTCTGTTGTACATAAGGAAGGAATGTGCGTCCAGCGTTTGTGTTGTCGCCCTTGCATGTGGACACCGCGGCTGGCCTTACTCCAGAAGCGCGAGTCGGAAGCGTGTCGGGTCCCATCTTTTCCTTTCCGGATTGGGGACCACCTGCTCTCCAGCTTCTAGTCCTGCTGGGTGTCCTCGGCATCCTGTGCTGCGTCACGGCGCCGGGGTGTGCTCCATCGTGTGAGCTGTGAACTCCAGTGTAGCCAGGTCGGGGGAGAAGCTCCGTGAGGGGCGGCCCGGCGGCCCCGGGAGCACGAGGCAGCGCGCTGCGCTGGCCACCAGGGCTGCGTGCACACTGCCGGCTGGGTTTCTGCTGTTTCCGTGAGGTCCGGATGGGGACGCCGGCTCTGGCCCCAAGACCTGGGGAGGGACGCGGGGTGTGGCATGGCAGCCTCTGTTCATCATGGAATAAAACATTATTTTACCACTCGGTGGCTCTTCTCTTGCTTCTCCGTTGCCGGACGCTGCCAGAGGAGACAGGGTGGAGGTGGTCACGCAGACCCAGACCGGCCCTCGGGGCCGTGTGTGCGTGCGTCCCGGGCCTGCCGGGACCTCTCAGCGGCTTTGGGGTCAAGGCCGTCCCAGGAGGAGGGTGCGGTCTGTCCAGGTGACTGGGGAGATCACTGAGGCCCACCAACGAGTGGAAATGACTCTGTGGGGGCCGAAGCCAGGCCCACAGGAGAGATTTTGAGAATTACTCCGGCTGCCGCCAATGTGTCACGTGGCCTCCACCGCAGCCTGTCCCAGCACCACAGCTGGATTAGCTGCCCTGGCTGCCTGGCTTGGTCGGGTCTCGGAAGCAGCAGAGCCGCAGAGGCCACGGCACTCATCCCCTGCTGAGCCCTCGAGAGCTCCCCGCCTCGCGAGGTGTGGGCTCCTCCTGGGCCCCTTCCAGGCGTGAGTCTCTCCTGGACAGGAAAAGAACTGCAGACAGGAACTTCCTGAAGGCATCTGCAGGAAGGGCAACTTCTACGTTGTTTTTTAAAAACATTCTTTAAATCATGTATTTATTTACTTGGTACAGTGTCTCACTATACAGCTCAGACTTGTAGTGATCCTCTTGTCTCAGCCTCACCAGTGCTGTGATCACAGGACACCATTTCAGTAGCCAGCTCAGTACCGGGGATTGAACCTGGGGCCCTGTGCTTCCCAGGCAGGTGCTTAGACTGCTCATCTATCTCCCTGGCCCTTTCTTTCTTCTTTTAATTTTATTTATTCATTGCACAACTGGAGTTTGAACTCAGGCCCTTGCGCTTGCCAAGGAAGTGCTTATTCTACTGAGCCATCTCCCCAGCCCCTTTAAAAATTGTTTTAAAAAATATTTTACTTATTTATTTGGTACAGGGTCTCACTACACATCCTCCTGTCACATTTTCCACTATGGAAACACTGAGAATGAGCCATGACCCCAGGACCCCACTTCCCACTGGAGGACCCTCCATGCTCCCACGGCAGGACCCCGCTGTGCCCACACCTCTGTGGCCCAAGCCTCCAGTCCTCCCTGCGTGTTCAGGGACCTGCGTCCTCTGGCCCCTACTTAACTGGCCCCAAGGCCAGATGCTGCAGCTTCTCAGGGGCCCTCACCCCCTCCCATCCTCCTCAGCTTCTGGGTTCTGAGCAGAGAGCATTTGGGTACCCAGGCAGCGGCCAGAAGAACATGATGCAGGCCTCAGTGGGCACGGAGGCCATGCCGGGCATTGGGGTGACCAGCAAGGACGGCCACCCTCACCAGCCACCTGGGCAGACCTGGTGGCACACGTACACACCACAGCACGCAGGCCTCGTTTACCCCTACCTGCACTGCAGAGGGGGCAAGTCACAGGGCCACGCAGGAGCCCCGGGGCAGGAGGACAGCCCCTGCAGGGCCCGAGTCGCTGTGGGCAGGCAGGCCACCTTCTGGGTCCTGAACGGCCCTCTTCCACAGGCTGCAGGGCCGGAGTGGCCACCACTGCCCACCCGACCCTCCCAGCTCCTACAAGACTGCCCCGCCCTCGGCGCTCACCTTTCTCCGCACAGGACTTGCAGGCCAGGGCCGGAGGGCTCAGGCAGAGCTGTGGAACTGTGTTCTGGGAGACAGAGGGCGTGGGGGGGCTGCTTTCGGGGCTCCTTGGGACCCAGACCCGCCTTGGCAGCCTGGGGTCCACATCCAGGTCCTGAGAGACGCCGCAGCTGCAACTGGGTCTGGGAAGTGCTTAAGATGGCACTGCGCTCGAGAGCAGGAGAGGACTCTGCCCACGGGCCTGGCTCTCCCAGGGCTCCGGGCCGGGACATCCGGAGGCCAAAGTGCTTGATGGAGCGTCAGGCACGAAGCAGGGAGAGGCCACCCCACCCAGACCCCATTTTCCAGAGGCCCCTGAGGTGGGGAGATGCAGCGCTCTGGGCTTCACTGCCAGTATTCTCTCTGGGCAAGAGTGGACCTCGCTGCTGTTGCTTTGAGACAGGTCTCGCCATTGTAGTCTAGGCCGGCCACAAATCATAGAGCTCCTCCTGCCTTCGCCTCTGAGTACCGGGACTGAGGTGTGCACCCCCCGCACAGCACCAAGTGGTGTCTTTTAAGGTGATAACTACTATAAATGCGCTGACTGGAGAGAAAAGTGTTTCTGAATGCCTCCAAGTTCTGTCTCTGAACACGTGGGGACGGGCGGCACTGTAGGGCTCAGAGCACACCGAGGTGTGCAGTTCTGTGGAAACTGCTCGAGGGTGTCTCTGTGTCTCCACAGGGTGAGAACCGCTCTTTCCTTTGCACAGCTGGTGACAGTGAGAGCCGCCCACTCAGCCGCCAGGGAGCCACCGCCCTGCCCTGAGCTCCTACGATCCGGTGCTGTGTGTGGGGAAGGTCCCTCTCCAGGGAAGGAAGAGAAACAAAGGGCAGCTCTCACCTGTGGGCACAGCCCGCTCCCAGGTGTAAATACCCTCACAGTGACCAATTGCAGATAGACAATGGGCAGCTGGCTTGGAGGTCAGCACGTGTCACCAGGGCCTGGAGGCGGGGCGTCCCCATGGCCCCTCCCCCCAGGTGGACTTAGGTGCAGGGAGCCAATTACTTCCATCCTGTGGCACCCTTTGCCAAGGTCCTGCTGTCTGCCGGAAACAGCATGGAAGGACAGAACGCACTCCGGGCCAGGCCCATCTGTGCTGAGCCCAAGCAGGGTGCAGCAGAGGGACCAGGCTGGGGAGTGGGCTCCAGAGCCCACAGCAAGCTCACCTGTGCCCTCCTGCCCATGCATGATTCATCAGGGCCCTGACACTAAAGGCGCTGCAGCTGTTGGCACTCAGTGGCCCTGCGAAGGTCCCTTCAATTACTCGGGCGGGGGCTGGGGAGCTCGTTAACTGCAGGGCTACTCAGCATCAGGACCAATCACAGTGGAGGGTGAGGGGCTCCAGGGCCGTCGCATCCCTCACTCCGCCCGCCCCTTTTAGTGTACGTGGTCTCTCCCCTTCTTCCCCTCCTTCCCCCTGGCCCCACCCCCCAGGAGTCTGGAGCCCCTGAAGCTGCAGTGATAGAGGGGAGGCCGGAGGAGGCGGCCTTCAGATCAGGGAGCTCTGATGTGAAGAGCTCCACTTCCGCAGCGCCGGCTGTGACTGCCCTTGCATTATTTATGAAGAGCAGGGGCGCTGGGCTGGCTTCTTGCAGCCGCCCTCATGGTCCCACGAAGGCCACAGTGGGACAAGAGTCCTGGAGGCCTGACACGAGCTCAAGGTGGGGCAGCTCCCTCACCAAGTGCTAGAAAAGGACCCCAGCTTCCACCAGCCGCACCAGCTGGGCCTCCTGTGTGACCTTGGCCACACTCCTGTCACATTAGGTCAGTGCCTCCTCACAGACCGAATGTCCTTGGTCACCTCTGCACAAACTGTTCTCAAACAGGCACTGCCGGGGAGGTCTCCAACTACCCAGCCACCCACCGCTTCCTTCCAGGGGTTAGCCTGGTGTGGGGTTGGGGTAAGGAGTCCGCCCGCCCGTTCTTCAGAGGCCTGACACTTGGAGCGCAGATGTATGATGGTCCTCTCCCAGGGGAGCTCATGTAATCCTTGGGGTATGCACGTGTGAGGAAAACACGGCGAGCCTTCTAACAGTATTACTGTAAAAGACATTGTTGCGAGTCCCCCAAGGTGCCCCTTCACGTCACCAGTATCTACCCCACCACTCCTGCCACGGTATACTGTTTGCTGCTGTTTTGACGCAGCGTCTGACTTTGCAGTACAGCTTGGACTTGAACTCACTGTACAGCTCAGGCTGGCCTGGAATTCCAAGGGACCCTCCTGCTCTGCCCCAAGTGCTGGGGTTACAGGTGCCCAGTGCCCCTCATGCCCACCTGCCATGCTCTAAAGCAGCTCTGAAGTGCTCCTTTCAGCATCTTTAGGAGGCATGACAGAAGTACAGTGGGTGCCGAGGCCACGCGCCACCCAGTGGAAAGGTGGGCTGGTCAGAGCGCCACGGCGTGTCCTGTTCAGGTGTGTCCTGGCTGGTGCCATGGGACGATGTGCTCTTCTGCAAAGTCAAAGTGACCAGGAGAAAGAAAGAGAAGAGGTTTGGAGTCAGCTCAGGGCACAGGCAGCCAGGACGCCAGAGAGGCCTGCTTTGTGTTGCAGCCGAGTCACCCTCTGGGGGGCTCCGTGGCCCAAGGGCAGAGCAGTCTGCCCCTGGCACCTGGGGCGCCAGCAGGGGGCAGCAAAGGCCACACTCTGGTCACATCTCTGCAGCCGGAGGGCCTGGGTCCTGGAGCAAAGGCCTTGGGCACCACCCCCAGGACCCCTTGGGAGCCCCTAAGATGGCACAGTGGGGAGCACCCGGGCACTGGAAGTCACTTTCACAGTAATGCAGGGCAGATGGGCCCAGCAGCCAGAGCTCAGGAACATGAGGGCTGGGCACAGGGGTCATGGCTAGGGCCGCTGGCAGCTGCAGGCCCAGAGACACCTGGGGCAGCGCCTCGGGGGCCACCAGTGTGCCCCCTCTTCCCTCTCCACAGCGGCCTTGGGCAGGGGCCCTGAGAAATCACGGTATTCCCAGACAACATCAGTGTGGAAAACTCCACAGCAGCCCCACCCAAACCTAGCAAAGTGACAGGCACCTTGGTGGCAGGCGTGGGCAATGGCCAACATCAGGGCCTTCCCTGGCTGCCACCACCCTCCAGCAGCAGCTGAAGCTGGAGCCATGACAGGAACCTGGAGAAAACGAGTCCCGCCAGGGCCTGGGACCTGGCCTGGCCTGGCCTGGCACATGGAAGTCACAGGAGCACCCAGGGCTGGCCAAGGTGGCCTCAAGCTGGTGGGGCCGATGACCTCTGACTGGGCTCCAGGTGTCAGAACCCACACTGCCCCCGCAGGGTCCTGGGGCCTAGGGGTGCGCATGAGGCTCAGGTGTGCATCGGTTTCTTAACCCTCACGTACACT